GCTCTAACTATTAAATTAGATATAGCTTTTCTTTTTTTTAAATTTTTTTTTTCCAGTTCTTCCCTTGTGGCCATACACCTCCCATGTGAACAAGATTCTTCAAGCTTGATGATCTTTGGTTTTTCATTTGGTCAATCACATAAACCATCTTGTCATGCCTCTGATTGGATCCAGCAGAGTGTATGATATAATTGTCTACTCTGCAACTTCCTATGCTTTAACATTTTGTAATATTCACTTTTTTATTTCTCCATTTCTTTTGGCCAACCTCTTAAATATGGCCTGATAGAGTTGAAAATAGCTAGGTTATGTTAAACTACCTAGTCATAATCATAAAGTCTCTTCTGATTTTCATCTTGGTACTGATAGCTTTTTTGCCTTTTCAAATGAATCAATTAATCCAAAAATATGAGTTAAAAAAGTAGGGAACATTTTAAAAAAAGGTGGGATGCATTTTGCCATGAAGCTCTCGGTGTAGGGTCAGTCTTAAACCAAGCTTATTTTTCTGCTTTTCCTTATATTTCATCTCTTTGTTTAGGATCTTTTGGGGAGTGGCTGAGAAAATTGAGAGGAACATCGAGAATTTTTTATCGTCAGGGGGGGTGAGATGTCGAAGATAATTTGGTTAGATGGGATTTGTCCTGTTCTTCTAAAAAAAAGAGGGTGGTATAGATATTGGCAATTTAATGTCTAAAAACTTTTGTCATAGTTAGCTAAAGGGTTATGATATTTAGCTTTGGAATCTTGTCCTTTGGGGCATAAGGGGATCAAGAGTAAGTACAGGTTGCAAGGGAATGGTTGGGATTCTAAAGCTTGAAATACCACGACTGGCAGAAGCCTCTAGAAAGCATCTCTCAGCTTCATGGGCCTTACCTCTTACCCGTATGAGAGTGGTTGATGACTCTTGTATTTTGTTCTGGGAAGATATTTGGATTGGTAATCTCCCCCTTGCTAGCCTTTTTCCATGCGTTTGTAGCTTTCCTTTTGCCATAAGTCTCCTATTTTCTTCATTAATCAACTTGTTGATAGACAACTTTTTTAGCAATTTAAATGATTGAAAGTAAAAAATGGTATGATTTTTTTGCTTATATCCTTGAGCCTTTTGTAGTTTCTCAACAACCTGATAGTATAATTTGGTTATTGGGTTATTGTTCAAAGTAGGCTTAAGAAATGATCCATTGCAAGTTTGTAGATCCCTTTTCAATTTCTAACTAAACTCTTACTTCAGATGTATGTTATGTGTTTAAGGGAGGTTGAGTCCCACTGCCTTCTCTTTTTGCATGAGATGGTTTAGAGGCATTGGTAGTTTGGGACAAAAAGGAATCTAGCTCCCCTTGGAGAGAAGAGCTTTTCCAGTTTATGGGTGT